CATGGCCATACAAGTTATTCAAAATATGCCCAGTGCGTCCTGCTTTTACATAACCTTATGTAGTAACGTTGAAGTAAAGTCTGCCTGTGCTGAAAGCTGAACTTAATTTCAAATTAATTAAACACGAGCCTGCTTCGCCATAAATTTTCAAATCATTCATCGTAATTATTGATCTAATAAAGTGCAACAAAAGTTCACATTCCTTTACTTACATTGCGTTTGCTTTGGGCTGCGAATTGTGTATTTATTCATTCGCAGGAGGTACATAAGTGCGCCAGTCAGTAAAATACGAATCCTTAATGGTAAAGCTAATAATTTTTGATCAAACATGAGCGATTTCACGCTCTTTATTATTTAGCTCCACCTCTATTTTTTTGTATGATTGAATTATCAATGGATTGTTAGTTACTGACATCCGAATTTATATTCACTAAATACATCACCAATAGCTCTGAACTAGCCCTGATCTTAACCTCGTAACTGCCCCATTCCTATATATGGTACAACTCCATGCACACTAAATTTATGTGACTTAGAGAACACTGTGGATCACTTTGCATGAGCATATATAACTGCATGGACAAGTGGCAATTGTAGCCATGGGCATAATTACTTTGATAATTACTTTGGAATTTGCGAAAGGAAATATTCAATTACTAATACAACACATAAAATACAGCGATATTATTATAAAACACATGGAATACAGCTAGGAAATGACTCGATCCAGATGTTTTAACGAGAGACTGACATTGATCCTGAGTTCAAAATCCTTGAATCGATCCTGCATTTTTGTGTTTTTGTGCAAGATGAAAAAAAATAAAACACTAAACATGCACTGACGATGTGCTTTATTATTATTAATAGTCGAAGGGAAATATTAAAAAAAATATTTCAATAGAATTTTTCATTTAAGAAAAATGGCATGTAATGCCAGTTGTATTGGTATTTTTCGAGCAGATCTAGTTTAATATCCTGCCCAAAAAAACTTTAGTATGAAATTCTTATGATCTGTAGTTAATCATTCCAGTTGTATCAATGACCACTGTCTTGTATACTCCAATTAAGAGAAGAATCTTGGAGAAGTCGATAAGGTTATGTTGCAGATAGCTTCATACGATGCCTTCGAGTTTGTTCTTCAGATTTGCCTACTTGTGTTAGTCTGTAAGGTATTAATTAGTCAGTTTTAGTGGTTAAAGATATGGGGTTAATAATTTCACATGAGGTTCGATCGGTATAAAAGACAATCCGCTGCAATAACAAGAATTGCCTATATAAGCCCTATATCCTATTTTGGAAGGATCTGGTGAATAATCCTTCAATGCAAGGGTCTGGTTTTAAATAAACACAACATAAAAATAGAATCATAGAAATTTGGGTGGGCGGAAGGCTTGCAATTAGGCTGCAGTTAGATCGGAACTACCTGAAAATAAAAATGGTGCTTATACATCGTTATGCACATCATAGAGCATGTTTCCCCCTATTGGTTCCGTATGAGTAACGGGAAGTGCCACCCTTTCCCTACTGAGTATTATTTGTCATGGGCATTGCATATGGGCTCCAACAAACAACGATAATTAAACAATTAAATTAGAGTTCAATTTGGAGTTCAACCCATTGACGCGTACCAGAAGGCATATAGGCAGCGAGCATTGAGTTATATGCAATGAATTGGTAGCGTTCTCTTATTTTTTGGGTGGGGTCTATTCCTCTGTTCCTACACACATTATTGTGCTCCTTATAGGTGTATAGTTAAAAAGAATGTAAATTTAATGTAAAGCATTTAATCGCAGTGATCAAAATGATTTAGTTCAGCTTAAGTTATAATTGTTTGTGTGAGATTTTGCTGATGTGTAATGTGCACTGCTATGTAGAAGCCATGCATGCATGTACCAAAGGCAGTGTATAAACTGTTTCACCAATTAGCAAATTGTACGTTTGCCTAGAAGATTGTTAGTACAGCCAGCTTCAAAACGTACCGAGCAAAGATGCAAGCCTAAGCGTTATAGCCACGGTCCCACGCCAATTAGTTCACGGATGGGTGTTATTTGTGATCATTCGCACTGTCATATATAAGATCTCCAGTATGTCTACCATTCAATACATATCATGTCGTGAAATTGTGTTTGCTAATTATATCAACCACTTTGTTGCTGTCATAAACATGTGATTCGATCGTAAATTGCAATTGTCAAATGACAGGTAACCGGATTCAAACGGCGTGTACATTAATGGTAGTGAAAGCTGCTAATTTGCACTAATCGTGTACACTTGGTCACTTCTAAATGTCAATCTTCCTTCAGGCAGTTTTGAACATGGTGATTTTCGATCCAACAATATGTTCGCCCAATTTTATCGGCCCTGATTGCGAGAGGTCAACAGAGGGAGATCCATTTCAGCCGAAAGAAAATTCAGCAAAAAAATTTGCAATCTGAAAGATTTCACCCCGTAGAAAAAACCCACCTTTATGCCCCCATTCTTATTCATTACAATTAAATGTTGATAGTTTTAGCTCGGTTTCAAATGAAACATCCTGCTGGCTTTACCAAAAGCATCGCGGGATCCCAATCATAGACTTTTTGAGTGATTGATTCGCTAAGTTATTTGCCAAATATTTGAGTCAACTGGGGTTTTTTTGTAAGACCAGTTACAATGTTTATTTAAGCACTGTTGGTATTTTGCCCAGGTAAACCGTAACAGGACGACGACGAAATTATTAACCGTAATAGATTCTAAGGCTTTCACAAACATTTCCAGCAAGTTCTTTAAAACTTATGATTCACCAATGGAGGATTCCAACTGTGATAACAGAAACCTTGACAGTGTTAAGTGGGAGTATGATTACCCCAAAGAATTCGTGATCAAGCGAAGTCGTATATATACATGCTGATCATTGTTATTGATGGAGATGAAGTGCTAGAAAACTCGGTCTTCGTGTTTGTTCTAGAGCTGTTGTCGCAAGAATGACAACAGCTAAAACCGACTGGAACTCCATTTTGAAGCCGAAATATAAGATTCATGAAATGTGTCAAATTTTTGTCTTTCTAGTCACTTACCGTTCAAATGCGTTAGATCTTTTAAATAGAAATCTTTTGAATTCTTGGTGTAGGTTTCAATGTTCCTTTTAATTTGTCTTAGAGTGCGATTTTGAACACCAGATACTGCCTCCGTTCGTAGCGATTATTTTTTAGAGGACTTCATTGATTCAATACTTTAAATATACATAGAACGAAAATCGGTTACTGACAGTTAGATAGAGCAGGAAGAAGCATCGAAACGAATAAACAATTGGATAGCATATTTCAGTTATTTAATCAGAAGTCAAGTTTGATGTCCCCCGACACTATTTTGGTACGAGCTTGATTCATTGTTCTGATTGGCTGGTTATTTACGTCATCTTTGGCATCGCAGGCGGCAGTTCAGGCGTATCCAGTGAACTAGTCTTCCAGTGCTTCCACTTTAGATTATTTTTTTCCCATTTTCGATTTATTGAGTGAAGAAAGACGCCTCGCTATTATTTTATAATTAAATAACGAATAATTTTGGCGTCGAAGCTCCTATAAAAAAAGATGCAATACATGATACAGTTTATTACTATAATAACGGATTCTTCATTTGTTTTCATTCATACGACATATGCATTCTAAATATCTGTGTTGATCAATTTGATAAAAACACTTGCGGCCCATCAGTTGCCGGTTGAAAAGATTGTTTAGTATATAAAGCAACACATACATGGGAATTTAGGAAAATGAGAAAATTATAATCGAATTCTTGTGTTTCCAAAGCTGCACGGAAATACAGAACAAAACTAATATTCAACCTGTAATCAAACTCGATTAATACTTCTTTATGCTTCTTCCTGCATGAAATAAATTTTGTTTTAAATTCTATATAAGCTGGAAATGATTTAAATTAATAGTGTATCTAAATGATGTTTAGATTTTTTAGAATTAGAATTTGTTTACGATTATATACTATGCATCAAATGCGAGTAACAGCTTCTTGACGTTTCGACCTTCTTCAAAAACACTTCTCGACGTTTCGACCCTCGTCAAGGGCCCTCGTTAGCAGAATTTGTAGGGACATTACGTCGCCAAACTTTGAGAATTGTTTGTCTATTTTAGGGGCATGCAGTTGTCATACAAAATTCTATCCGAAGTTGTTTGTATTCCTTGTTAGTATGTCCATTAACCAAATTGCATGGTTTCAACAGAAAGATTGTTTTATAATATATATATATATATATATATATATATATATATATATATATATATATATATATATATATATATATTATATAATGACATATATTTTTCTATATCTGGTATGATACATACTATGATGCATGTATTTGGAAACGTAAAAATATCCTAACGAAGGCGCTAGAGACACCTGTTACTACCTACTACGGTGTTGCAAAGGCGTAGATCCAATCCTTGCCAGAGCTAATTGACAAATTTGCTCCACTGATCTAGTTTTAAAGAGCTACTTTAAAGTGGATTAAAAATTATCCAATATCGAGCGAGCGAAGTTCCATAAAACCATAATCAATTTACCCTCATAGATCTCTCCCTGCATGGCATGACTATATTGACATACACGTTTACTATAACTTTAACTTACTCTCCGGTCAGCTACCAGCCGTAGTTTAGTGATTGGAACATTGCATATGCAGGCAATGCAATGGCGTATATATTATGCCGGAGGATCTATAATTGACGTATTGCAACTGTTTCCAAATTTCAATTTGGATTTGAAGTTTATATGATTCTACTCGAAATTGAGGGTATTAAACCTTTTATTGGCATTAGACACATAATATCCTAGGTTTTAACTGAAGTCGACCGCTACAGAATTATCGTCAAGAATTTACATTACTCTCTACATATGACTACACGTTTGGGATATAGATATTTGGCCAAGATAAGGGGAACATTCCATGTTGCGTTGCAAGTAAAAAAAAGATTTAGAATAAAATTTCATTTGCATATTTTCAGCTTACAAACAAATGTTGCAAGGAGCACTTTTTGTCGGCACTCGTGGAAATCAACAGCCTACGACTGTATAAATGCACAGATGAGACCAAATTCTACAATTGTCTTAAGGAGGTTAAGACCACCATGTCCAGATCAATGGGCGACTATTACTTCAACAAGATGGCGACCGCGTGCTACAATATAGAAGCGCATGATTACTGTTTCAGGACCGTGTGTGGAAGCGTCATCCTGAAAATATCCGCTGACACCATACCAGCGTTTTGAGGTTCACCTGCCAGTAAAAAACAAAGCAAGTCATGTCGATCAGATCACCGACTTGACCTACGTCTACTTTTTATTGCTGAAGGAGGAGGAATGTAAATTTATAAAAGTTGAGGTACTTTATATATATATTTAGTTGGTCTTTTCTCATATTGTGAAAAGAATAATTTAGATTGACGGGAAACTGTGCATGCATGACTGTTTGGCAGCGATATTGTTTTTATACACGCTCGTTTATGACTGTAAATACGCGAAAAGTATAAGCAGTATTTTGTTGAGATTTTCATAAAAGTAAAATGTAAAGTATATAACGTTGAAATATTGCATATTGTATAAATATATTCTTCACGATAACACGCACTATCTATAGCTAACAGGTTCCAGTGAAATTGTTTGGAAAAAAACTGACGCAGAAGTTCCCTAATAGCCTATTTTGTAGCGATATGCATTAGTCATTAGTGCGTGCAAAACATATTCTCTGCTGTTTGCAGATGTGAGCATTGATTTATTGATTATATTTGCTGAAAGACTCCAAATTATACTCACGTTTATTTCATTTTTGTACTTCGTTAATTCATCACCAACTTAACTGCGCAAGATCACGAAGTCAGTAATTTAAATTGTAAAATATGTTTAAAAAGTGGCTTAAAATTGCAATAACTGTGCTTGAACGTGCCAAAAAAGGAAATCTCAGCCAGCGGCAACGTTGTGATTTCTGCAGTGAAAACTGATATTTAGGAATGTATAGTTGTTATAATGTAACCTCTAGTAAAACGTTTACAGCTTCCTTTCTTTTAGAATGTTCTTTATACACATACCCTATAATAGTATCACAATTATAGTAATGACTTTTTAGAGGAGTTTTGAGGTTTACCTCAGTGGCGTATTGAAGGCGAAAATGAATTTCGTCTTTCCGCAAATCTGTTAAAACAATAAAGAAACATTTTCGTGCTTCGCTTGTGGGATGTTTTAGTCGGGGTGCTATTTACACAACTGCTATGGTCGCACACATTTTTTCTGGTATCAAACTATTAGACAATGTGCTAAATATATGTACTAGTACGTCTACTAAATGTGTATCAGGCGACAAACAGAGATACATCATTTGTTATATACATCAGTCGTCTCATTCCATGATTAGTCAAGATAATTATATGCTCTTGTGATGTAACTGGTGTCGCCTAGTTTACGCTGTTGGTATTTGCCTATTACACAAGCAAAAATATACCGGCCGCTAACAGCCTGGAAATATGCCTCGGGGAAATCGCAGTAGCAGTGATGTAGTAAAACGCGATAATGGGAGGGGGCACATATTCATATATTCATGTTAACGGATTGTAACAATCGATGTGAAAAGAAATTGATCACGCATGCACAACATAAATATGTGAATATGTGCCCTCCCCCCTAACTATCGTGCTTCCTACGCCACTGCGCAGATGCTGAAGTAAACAAAGCTTGTCCCCTTCTGTAGGAAGTGTTTTTCACTTCAATAGAAAATATTAAAAGCAGAGCGAAAAATGGGACTATGCGAGTAGAAGTATGTTAGAATCATGCTTGCGTTAAAGAATTAATAAAAAGCTGGCTGCATATAATGTTTAATACATCAAACGATAACAAGTAATTATAATCATCGCCCATTAAACTTGACATTGATTTTAAAGTTGAATCGGATTGGTTTGAACTTTTATACGTTTTCCACCAGCCACCGTTTACGTTCGTTACGAATAGATAAATATGAATATCAGCAAGGATGCAGATAGAAGCTGGGGGGGGGATATTCATATATTCGTCTTATGCCCGACTGATTTTTTTTGTACGTTATTGTTCCTACGGTCTATAAACATGAATATATGAATATACACGCCCCCCGATTAAGTGGTCCTGCTACGACCCTGTCAAAGGGCTACGGTCCTTGCCTTTCCTTTAAACACAGGAGGAGCTACCTTTAATACACACCTGACACGACGGGATAATGAACGTGATCTGTAGTTTGTAACCTATGAGTGCCTGTGTTTGTCAGGTTGGTCAGTGCCTTCGGGGTAAATACTTTCAACTAGTGAAGTGAAAGTTTTTTAGAATATATAATTTCATATTCTGCGTTAGTGGATCATATGCCTCAAACATTTCAATTATTTCAGGGAAAAATTTTAAAGTGGGGTTACAATAGTTTCTTGTGTATCGTTCTGCTCGTAACATTGAGAGACATTTTGGGAAACGCGGTGATTTATAAATTGCCAAAAATTTCAATTTCATTACCAGAAATTTGCGACATGATAATTTGCATATATACTAATTTGCATTTAACTTTCAGCATAATGGCCTTCAACTTTTACTATTAAATACATATAGTAAATACACAAAATCTAAAAATGCCGTTGACCTAGATCTTGCCCACTGTTTGCCGACCTCTGGATCAATAAAACAGCCGTTTCCCAACGTTTTAATGATCGAATTACTTACCTTAGGTATTTCTACGTTCGGCCAAATGATTGTGAACAAATGGGTATATAGCCTTCGTATTATTCAAGTTACAGATAAGACTGATAATATTTTTTAAAGTGATTGCAGTAAAAATCCGAGCCGTACAAGAAAGTTTATACAAAAATACGAAAGACAATATCTTCAACAATTTTTTTGGTACATTATACGTCAATTTATTAACTATCTGAATCGAAATATTCGAATCAATGTGAGCGATTTTAAAAGTTCGTGGACAGAACACGGACAAAACTTTGAGCAATATATCTTTAAATTTGGCCGAATGCAGGAATGCCCAAGCTAAAAAATTCTGTCACCAAAACGTTTCTAAACAGCTGCTCTACCGATCTAGAGGTCGGCAAAAAGTGGGCAAGGTCTAGGGCAACGGCATTTTTAAGTTTTGTATAATTACCTAATGTATTTTATAGTAAAAGTTGAAGGCCATTATGCTGAAAGTTAAATGCAAATTAGTATACATGCAAATTATCATGTCGCAAATTTCTGGTAATGCGGACGCCATTTTAAATTTCTTTGAACATAAATTCTGTCTTCACTCATTTTGAAATATAGTGAACAGAAATGGTGTTAAATATTCCGACAGGACAGGATATTTAGGGAAATATAACAGTTCAATATAAAGAATTTTTGTTTTCACTTCGTACTTTTTTAAATACATTGTTCATAATTTATCCACTTCAAAGAAATTTTCCTCCTGAATTACGTTACATAATTTTGTTTGGAAATATAAATCTTAATATAATTATTTAATAATATATTGTAATTCTAATTGTACATGTTTCGTTTCGGTATAAAACTGGAATATTGTTCTTGCCACTTGAACAAACAACAGAGCTTATCTTAGAATACATAACACAAAGAACGTTCTTAAAAAGTCCAGCATCTTTAGGAAATTTCTTTGAAATATGAGAGCTCGAGCGCTGAGGAATTACGACTTGCGCTTTAGACTAATTTCTTACCTCGGCGATAAAAAGGACATTTTCTGAAAGAGCTTACTAAGATTAGTAAAACTGCGAAGTTTGGCCGCGAATTGTTGTAAATTACGGAAAATATAGCCATGCGAAGTTGTCGATTCTTGTATACTTTTGTATTACGGCCGGAAGTGTGTAACTAATTTAGTTACAATTTAGTTACACATTTCCGCACGTAATACAAAAGTATACAAAATTTGCCAACTTCGCATTGCCATGCATATTTTCCGTATTTTACAACATTTCACAGCCAAACTTTGCATTTGCACTAATTTAAGTAAGATTTTTCTAGCTCTGATAATTTATTTTCTACTAGTTACTTCGCTCAAAAATTACTCTAAAGCGCAAGCCGTTCATTGTCTTTGTCTGTATTGTATAGTATCTGCGATTTTGAGCGGCTGATCAGAGGACTGTTCTTCTCCTTTTAAATTGGCACCCAAATTGCTACATATTATATGTTGTATAACATGAAACACGTATATGCACAAGTTACAAACGTGTTTGGTACAGCCGTATAACGTGCAAAGGGCTTGCCATTAGAACAACTATGACTGTCAAAATTCCAGACGTTTCACATACTGATAAAGGCAAATAAAATTTCTTACGAAAGCTTGTCAGGGGAGGTGTGAATTATGTAAACAGGAGAAAAATGCCGTTTGTCAGTGACCGCTGTAATAGCCTGCAGGGATACTGTAGTAGTGGTTGACAGTATAGCCACGTTTAATCACCAGCATATGCAATAGATCGATACGAGCCTGATTTTTGTATTTCAAAGTAAGACTAGAAAGTTTCTTGTGGAAAGATCTTGACAGACGTAAGGGCTAATGGAGGTGCAGGCCACTTGTCTCTGGAGGCTTCTGCGTTGAATGATGCGAACTGCGTGGGCAAAACGAATGTTCTGAGTAATCTGTAGATAATAAAAAAGCTTATGATGCAAGAATGTTCAAGACTAATCATGAAATTCGTGATAGTCTCCGCTGTAGGTCTTGCATGCTTAGCTTTCTCCAAGTGTTCTGGTTGTTCGCCCAATTAATGTTTCGTCAATCTCATGCACGCTGAAACTTTCCAATCAAAACAAATTTTCCGAATTTTTCCTTTGACGTAATTAACATGTAGAAAAACACGGAACAATAAATCATACGTAGACTTTTTTTTTTAAGACATGTTTCCTGTTTCCGATATCACTGTGTCATCATTGATGTACAGTGCCAATTGAATATGTTTTTGATTGATATGCTTTGCTGTGGGAATTGTGTTTAAAGGTGTAAATAACACCGTTTTTCCGAGTGTGTGAATTCCACGAAAGAATGGGGCAGGGGTGTTACCAGTGGCGTACGAGATACGATAATTGCATGGCCGGGGGGGAACATATTCATATATTCATGTTAACAGCCATGTAAAGACAATAGATTTGAAAAGAGATCAATCTTGTCCAACATGAATATATGAATATGTGCCCCCCCCCCAGTTATCGTACCCCAGCTACCACGACAAATGGTAGATAGAAAATAGTCTAAATTCGTTTTTCTTTTGCCTTGGCGTATGCAAATGATCGAACAACGGTCGCAAAGACACATTATAAGGGACATGCGTAACCCGATATTCGTGGGGACGAAAACTTGAAAGATGCCGTCGCAATTTTCCCTTTTCCAAACGGATGTTGCCATTTGAAACAGTTGTTGCTTTTTTTGGAACGCGCTATGCCTTTTAAAATGGTCGTTGCCACGTTTTAAAATGGATGAACGTTCGGATATTGTGTAACATGGCAACGACCATTTCAAAGAGAATCGACCGTCCTAGAAAATAGCAACGACCGTTCAAATGGCAATGACGCCGACATGAACAGTAAGTGGCTGTTCTTTATGGCGAAAAGGATATATGGCG